ATGGATAGATTTTAGTGCGGAAGTTATAGCCCAGGTCAAAGACAAGATTCCATCTTCCCTATTATGTGTCTAAGATTGAGTCTTACTGAAATCAGAGAATGTGGGAGGGAAAGTTCCAACACCGTATGTGCGGAATGCTCCGACTCTGCTGCGGTAGCCAGTGCCCCAGCCAGCTTTCAGTGTATGTACTTGTACAGAAAACCTGATTCCCAGCACCTGGGCCCCTTCTGCCTTCAGGTGACGTGACAGCACTTGACACACATCTGGATGAAGGCCGGACATCCCGCCTGCTACATCCCCAGCACTGCTACACCAGGCCTCTGATCTCAGGACAACAAAAAGAAAACAAAGTTGCTTGGCTTGTTTGGAAGAGGCTGTAGTGTGCGGCCCTTTGTGACTCATTCCACCAAAAGATGGTAGAAATCCGTGACATTCACATTCTTTTCCCATCAAACCTGCCAATAGATTCTGGTCATGGCCTGTGGTGTGGTGTGTGTAAGGCAGGTCTTAGGCCTCTTCTGAGTGCCTCTGCTCCCACCACAGTGTACTGTGACCCAGGGCTGCTTTCTAGAACTCCCTACTCTCACAGTGGGTGTGGGGAATGACTGGCCACACCAGAGGTCTTCCTGCAAAATGCCTGTGGTGTGGGCTTTGTGCATACACCTCTCTAGGTCTTTTCTCTTTCCTCCTTTTCCAAGAAATGGGCCCTGTGCCCTTGTGCTGTGTGCCCTTGGCAGGTTTACCCGCAGAAGATGACTTCCTCAGATCCAGAGTCCAGATCCTTGAACACATGGAGACTCTTCACTTTACTCACATAAAATGCATATTAAAATGTAGTCAGACATAGTGCTTTATTTTGAAGACACTCTAATCAGCAATCTAATACACAATTCTTGTTTTCTTGGTTATTTCTTATGAGAAAAAGCTAGACTCCAATGGCATTAAGATGTAGCCCCTTCATAAAAATCTTTTGGTTCCCTTATGACTCAGGACCATTTTTAAAAACTTTCCAGACTGAACAGAAGAGAAAAATCTTTAATTAACTGCCAGTGTATATTGATTCTTTTCAGAGAAATTGAAATAAGCTCTTTGCAGGTGTCCAATCCCAGGAACCACTGGTCTCCAGATCTCTCCTTTTACATAAGTGTTTTTCTGATTCTGTGATAACTAATTAACTATCATTTGGTGATTAAAAGAACATAAAGTGAGGGTGTGATTAAGTGCCCTTCACTTTAAACTCTGTAAGAAGTGATTGGAGAGAAGTGCTTACACCCAGCCTCGCTGCTTCCCAATGAAGCCCGTTACTGCTTGTCAGCCATAGTCAGCACAGGCTCTGCACGTGGCAGCCAAGAGAGCTATTCCTTCTAAGTAACTGGGGTCCCTGTTCCCCATTATGATGGTGTTTGAAGTGCCCACCTCCCCCCATTGTGTGCCTGTTTCCTGGGCACCTGCTCAGGTCAGAGGATCCAAATATTCTTATGAGTGGCTTGGACACTTTTAAGTGTCCTTGTTGAGGTTAGCAGATCTCCAGATTTTTTTGATATATGAAGGAGAGAAAAAAAATAAATTCAGAACTTCTCTTTAAATCTTACATCTATTTCTTGTCTTCAGGAGGAAAGATGTCTGGGGGCCTTCTGAAACTCTGGGAGGTCTATAATGAATGTCCTCTGGGTAGCTCTCTCCTAATGTCCATGGAACTGTCGGACCGGAAGGCCTGCTACTGTTCTCCAAGGGCACAGTATTTGAATGGGTAGGTTCAGTGTGGGGTGTACCGTACCCAGCAGCACACGGCCTCCAGGCTCCAAACTGCTCATTGTCATCCTGGTCTTTTCTGTTCCAAGAGTGAGCTGCTGAAGAGACTAGATCAGTTCTGCCCAGCTCTTCCTCACCCTTTCTGAACGCACAGAACGTGATGCATGGGCCCTGAGTGTAAGACGGGCGTGCTCTAGGTGATTGATGTAACAGACAAGCACCCTGGACACCCACATGTGTTCAGAGACAAGACTCTGAGTGAGTCCTGAGAGAACCCTATCCTTCTGCAATGGCTGCTGGAGTCCTTGGCTCCGATCTAACCTCTGTACCAGCATCAGAACATGGCAGCCAGACACGCTGGCTTTTGTCACTAAACTCAGAAGCCATATGTCCAGCTTCATTCTCTGTGAACATTAAATGACGGTAAACTGGGTAGTGGAAATCTTCATTATTTAAATTTGTGTTAAAGGGACAGGCAATGCAATTTTCATTGCTGTTTGACTTTGAGAAGCGTTCTACCTCTTAACGGTCTGTTGTTTTTAAGGGAAGAAATAGGACATGCCCTTAAGATTCAAGTTGTTAACTGTATGCCTGCCTCAGTCTGTTTGGCTTATCAAGAAAAAGATTTTAATGCTTCAAGATGAGTTTAGGATGTCCTATGTCTGTTAAAAAACCAACACAAAACAGGGTTGGTGAGACAGCTCAGCAAGTGAAGGCGTATCTGCCTTTGACAACCTGAATGAACGCACATAACGGAAGACAGCCGATTCTGCATTTGTCTTCTGACCTCCACCCATGTACCATGACACATGCACCCACACGTGTCCACACACAAATAAATCAACGTCATAATATTTAATAGTCTGAGCAACAAATGATCTAGGAAATAAACAGAACACTGTATGGCTTTAGGAAAGGGAGGTCAGGGTAGAATTCAGCCTGGGACTTAAAGGAACAACCTCTGCAAATTTCCTTTGACAGCAAGGTTGCTTGTCTTGACTTCCAGTAATAGAAAACCAGGCAATTTGATTATCCGATTTGCGAGAAATGTTAATGGAATTCTGGGGCATTTGTCCTGTTTTATGTGCAAATGAAAGTCAAAAAAATATGGGACGGGTATTACACTTCTCGGGAGCCTCTGCTCCTCCATCTCGGGGGATGATGGCCGAGGGACCCCAGTGATGAAGCTCATTAGCCACGGTGAGAAGGGGGATAGATAGAACCCAGAGTCGCTGTATGTCTCAGCTCATCCTGAAGGACGCTCTTACCATATAGGAAAATGATTGACTTACTAAATCTAGAAGGACTTGGAGCAACATAGATCAAGTTTAATTTGATGGTCTGTATCATCAGAAAGAACTAATATCTGTGTTCTTTCCTTTCAGGGGATAATCAATTATAAACAGGCTGTAATATTTTTAGCTTCAAAACAAAAGGATTCAGAAGTTCAATAAAGATCCCAGACCTTCCATCTAGTTCTTTCATTATGCTGAACATTTTAGATGGCAAGATTAGAATATATAAATAGATCCAAACCTCGATGGCTAACAAACTTAACCCCCCAAAAAAATTTTTTTTAATTTGCTGCAAGTTTGTTTTATGGTGCCCTAGTGCCTCATCAAAATGCTGCATAATTACAACAAACAAAAGTCTGGGTAGCTTTCCACAAACAGGAATTAAGTGCCAAGTTCTGTCTGCCAATTAATGGAAAGTCCTAAGACGGTAATGATTTTTCTAAAGAGCCTTCCTTAATTGACAGTTTTCAACTGCAGGTCCTAATGCCCTTCATCGCAGGGTAGAAACAGCCCGCTGGCTCTCCTCACCCGTGGTTCTTCATTCAGGAACTTCCCTATGTTTAGGGAGGCATGTTGTTGACCACAGTCCATTGTGGGGAGATCATCTTTAAGCAGCATGCTACACACAGGGCCAGTGATCGTCACTCAGAGCTGAAATGGTCCTGGAAGCCTCTAAAGTGGTATGAGGTGTGGCCACCTGCACCCAAAGGCCAGCCCGGAGCCCACTGCACACACCCCCTGTTCCAGGACACTGTCACCCTCCAGCCCACTGCTCTGTTTGCTTGGAGGCCCAATCTAATATCACTTGGCAATTATTAATCTTTATGAGATTTATACTTGAATAATCAGTTTTAGCCCTTGAAAAAGCTTGAGAGCAGCTCTTGAATTTCTTTACCTCCATTTCCTGTGTGAAGTTACTGCATGGTTTATGAAACTTTTTCTCAACATGGGTCATGCCCAGGATTTCAGAGGGACCAGTCAGCTCCATGTGGGGGGATGATTGGCAGCTGGGGAGTCAGAGCAGCTCATCAGGGCTCTATTTTTAAACCATTTGTTGAGCTGCGTAGACAGAGCTTTACTGCCCTGGGAAGGATTTCTTTTCTCTCTCTGTCCAGCTCAGTCTTTCCATCACTTCACTTTATGAGCCACTCACATCATCATCAGTCACGCCCCTGACCTTCAGAAATTGCAGCTGACTTCTGCCCCTTTCCACCGCTCTTCTCCCTCAGACGCACACTACACCAGCCACCTCCTTGGCACCCATGCCACACCTTTCCCTGTGGCCTTCCCTGGGTACAGAACCCCAGAATGTCCAATGGGCAGCACGAGCCCATGGGGGAAACATAGTTGACTGAACATGATCTACCATTGGTGACAGAACAATGGCCGGAAGTACACGAACTCCAGAGAGTTTATCAGGGAGTGTTTGTTAAAAGGTCTCAAAGTCCGAAAGTCTAGAGGAGAAAACACTAAGCATCCTACCAGCAGTTCTTACATCTCCTAAGAATGTCATACCTTGTCAAGACCCAGTGCAAGGAGTGAGATATCTGTGCCTTTTAGTAACAGCGTCTAATGTGAAAATAAATTAAGTCACTTCCAATTGTCGCCACTTCTGTAGCGCTCTGAACAGCCCAAACTTAGCCGTGGCTTCCCCTGCATGCCACCCTGCGTGCTTACGTGTAGCGAGGCAGGAATGGTGATTTGCCAAGCTTGTATGAATGTTTGAAGACTATTTTTGCAGTCTTGACCTTGGGCTGGACCTAAGTCTGTAAAAATACGATGCCTGTCTTGTTTATAGAGGATGACAAAAAAACTAGACATTTTGCTTTTTGTTGCTGTAAGACTTTTCTTTGTACACATCTGCTGTTTGCAGATTGCAGATGGGGTAGATCTGACATACTTTGCAACAGTTTTACTTTCGCTCAAATACTCTATAGTAAACTTTTATAAAGTACAACATGCTAAGTCACCATAAAATTTGTGTAAGAAAGGTGTAAACATTTTGTTAATAAAATCCTATGTTTACAGATACACGTTTTGCTTTTCAATGCTTTCTCTTTGTAGTGTTAATTTGTCGTAATTGTTTTGAGTTTTATTTTATTAAATTTGTGTTATATTGTATGTGTCTGTGCACATGAATACAGGTGTTCAAGGAAACTAGAGATGTTAGAGACTCCCAGAGCTGGAGATGCAGATAGTTATGAGCCAACTGATGTGGGTGCTGGGAACCAAACTTGGGTCCTCTGGAAGAATAGGATGCTCTTTCAGCCCTCCCAAATACTGGGATTTCAGGCATGCACCACCACAGCCTTTTACTTTTTTTTTCTATTTTATTTTTATTTTGTATGTATTAGTGTACTGCCTGCATGTGTATAACTCCACCTGTGTCATGCAGTGCCCACAGAGGTCTGAAGAGGCTGTTGGCTCCCCTGGAACTAGAGTTACAGACAGTTGTGAGACCACCATGTGGGTGCAGGGAATTGAACCCAAGTCCTCTGCCAATGCTCTTTACCACTGAACCATCTCTCCAACCTCTACTTAACTTTTCTTAACCAAATATTCCCAAATCATTTCAGTATGATTTGGTGTGTCTATGGTAGTGTCTGATAGAAGATTGGTATATCAGTCAGTGGAGTCTGTCTACTGGAAGATTGGCATATCCATGGTTGCGTGTTTTGGAAGGTGAGTACGTGTATCATAGTATGTGCTGGAAGGTTGGTACATGTGTCATGGTATCTGCTGGAAGGTTGGTATGTGTGTCATGGTATGTACTGGAAGGTTGGTACATGTGTCATGGTATGTGCTGGAAGGTGGGTACGTGTGTCATGGTATGTACTGGAAGGTTGGTACGTGTGTCATGGTATCTGCTGGAAGGTTAGTATGTGTGTCATGGTATGTACTGGAAGGTTGGTATGTGTCATGGTGTGTGTTGGAAGGTTGGTACGTGTGTCACGGTATGTGCTGGAAGGTTGGTACGTGTGTCACGGTATCTTCTGGAAGGTTGGTACGTGTGTCATGGTATCTGCTGGAAGGTTAGTACGTGTGTCACGGTATCGGCTGGAAGGTTGGTACGTGTGTCACGGTATGTGCCGGAAGGTTGGTACGTGTGTCACGGTATCTGCTGGAAGGTTGGTACGTGTGTCACGGTATCTGCTGGAAGGTTGGTACGTGTGTCATGGTATCTGCTGGAAGGTTGGCACATCTCTTCTGTCTGGTGCTGGTGCATGCCGAGGAGTCTGCCCAGATCCAGCTGCCCTGCCTCCTGGTCTGTCCCCCCAGCCCCTGCCCTCTGACTGTTTCAGTACTTCAAGTGGGGAGTGGGATGGCACACACCTGTTACAGGGCTGCCGCTGCTCCTGAGATAGAGGCTTCTTGTTGGTTTAAGAACAGGTTTTCACAAATATCCTGTCGCCTGGGGACTTTCTCAAAATGTATTTCCATGCTATGTGCACTTGGCCTCTGGAGTCATGGCAGCATGGCAGCCACACTCCAGTTTCTCTCTGTTAGCCCACAGAATCAGAATTGTGTTGGCCTTGGGACTGCAGTTCAGAGGAAACCAAGAGCAGAGAGGATTAGGGACTGATGCTCCTGGGTTTGAGTCTTAGTTTAGCAGCTCTCTAGACTGTGTTCAGTTTTCTTCATCTTCACCAAAGGAAGAGAAGAGCTTACCACATGGGGCTCTTTCTATATAACTGCCTTTTAGTTTCATAAACAGGTCAGCTGGCCTGGAACTCACTGTGTAGACCAGGATGGCCTTAAGAGAGATCCATCTGCCTCTGCTCCTGAGTGCTGGGATCGAAGGTGTGTGCCACCATGTCCAGCTGGTTTTGTTTCATTTTGTTTTTATTTTATGTATATGAGTGTATTGCCTGCATGTATGTGAGTGCACCCGTGCCATGCAATGCTACTAAGACTGAAAGGTTGTCTCTCAACATCTACTGAAGGCCAGGAAAAAGGAAAATAATTCACCCTTGCTAGTAATTTTAAAGGTTCTCATTGAGATACACACAAACATTTTGGAACCCGTGTCGTGCAATGCCGCGGAGGTCAGAAGAGGGCTTCAGATTCCCCTGGAACTGGAGTTAAGGACGGTTCGTAGCCGCCATGTGGGTGCTGGGAATCGAGCCCAGGTCCTCTGCAAGAGCAGTCAGTGCTCTCAACCACTGAGCCATCTCTCCAGCCCCTTGTTCATTTTTAAAATACATAGCATGTACAGAAAAATGCTATAAATCTTGTATCTGGCCCAGATCACGTTCCCTTCCCAGAAGCCCTGTTTTGTGCCCACCTTACCACCATGTGTGTGTGTCCAGGTGTGTATGGAGCCCAGAAGTCTAATCTGGGATCAAAGTCAGGTCCTCATACTTTCACAACAAGCACTGTGTTGACTGAGTATCTCCCCAGCTCCATCTCCTGACACGCCATGCCTCAATTCTGTCTGCCTTTGCACTAGTGTGCGCTGTTACCTGGCTTTCGGTCAGTGTAGCACCTGGTTCACTCTGCTTCTCCAGAACACTCCATTTGTGAACAAACCACTCTTATGGTCCGTCTGTATCCATAGGCAACGGATTGTTTCCAGAGCTTTACTATGTACAGTGGTTAATTGCTTGGGGGTTTTTTTTTGTTACTGGTTTGGGTTTTGTTTTTTTTAGGCAGGGTCTCACTGTGTACTGCTTGCCAGTCTGAATCTCGCTATGTAGATCAGGCTGGCCTCAACCATACAACAATCCTGCATCTGCCTCCTGAGTGCTGGGTAGCAGCTATGCACCCCATCTGGCTGTCACAAGCATTGTTTTGCTTCTCTGGAGCACATGTTCATAACTGGCTTGGGCATGTACCTTGATACGGCATTCCTGAATCACGGGAACTGAGGCTGTTTGCTTTTTTACTAGATGTAGTTTTCCAAGTTGGTACATCCTAATGACCCACCAGCCGTGTGGGAGAATTCCCACTGCCAACACTCTACACAACATGTTGCAGTCTAGAGGTTTCTATGCAAGCTGCTAATGGTAGTGGCTTCTGAGGAGAGGGTAGGTGACAGAAAAACCACCTCTCTACCTGCTACTCCACAGACTTGGGCTTCTTCAAACTCCCACAGTATGCATATTTTCCCTTGTTTAAAAAACAAAGTTATGCCGGGTGTGGTGGTGCAGTCCTTTGATCCTAGCACTTGGGAGGCAGAGGCAGGCGGATCTCTGTGAGTTCAAGGCCAGCCTGGTCTACATAATGAGTTCTGGGAGAGCTGGGGCTACAGGGAGCAGCTGTCTCAAAAAGACCAAAAAAAAAAAAAAAAGTTGGGAATTAGATGACTCAGTGGTTAAGCGCACTGGCTGCTCTTGCAGAGGACCCAGGTTCAGTTTCCAGCACCCACATGGCAGCTCACAACCATCTTTATAGCTCCTGTTAGAGGGGATCCAACACCCTCTTCTGACCTCGTGGGCATTGCATGACACCAATGCACTTACATACATGCAGGCAATACATTCGTATTCATAAAGTAAATATAATAAGACTTTTTTTAAAAAAGCCAGGATCTGGCAAGATGGCTCAGTAGATAAAAGCACTCACTGCACATCCCTGGCAACTTGAGTTCAAGCCCCATATCCTACAGTGGAAGGAGAACCAACTCCTGGAAGTTGCCCTCTAACCCCTCCATGCATGGTACATATGTGTCTGCATACACAATAAGAATAAAGTTTTTAAAGATCAAAACGGGAAGTTCTGTTATGCTGTTCCACCGCACCCCGTGCAGTGTACTAAACAAATGTGTTTCTTTCTGCTGTGGCCTGAAGGGTAAATGCTTTCACCAACTGACCCAGTACCCCACCACACATACCAGGCACCAAAGACCTAACACACCTTATAAAAATAAAAAAGCAAAACCATAAACACTCTCCTCTATCCTGTCTAAAGAACTCCAACGGGGCTTGAGAGATGGTTTAGCAGTTATGAGTACTTGTTGCTCTTGCAGAAGACCCAAGTTTGATTCCCCGCATCCATGTCAGGTGGTTCACAACCACCTATAACTCCAGCTCCAGGGACTCTGACACCTCTGGCCTCCTTGGGCACCCATACCCACAAATACACACTTTACTAAAATCTTTTTTTTTAATTATTACTTTATGTGTGCAACTGTATTGCCTGCACATATGTGGGTGCACCCATGTTGTGCAATGCCACGGAGGTCAGAAGGTGTCGGATTCCCCCTGGAACTGGAGTTAAAAGAATGGTTCTTAGCCATCATATAGGAACTGGGAATCGAGCCTGGGTCTTCTGCAAGAGCAGTCAGTGCTCTTAACGACTGAGCCACCTCTCCGGCCCCCTAAAATAAATCTTTTAAAAAGAAGAAAGAACTTAAATGAAAATGGACCCAATGGCTATACTGAAATGGTACTTATTTTTCCCATTAAAAAAATTCTCATACTGGAGATGTGACTCCATTTATAGGACTCTTGCCTAGTGTGCATGAAGGCCCAGGCTCCACCCTCAGCACCGCATAAGCCAGACTTGGTGGTAACACCTGTAATCTCTGCACTCAAGAGATGGAGGCTGGAGGATCAGGTGCTCAAGGTCATCCTCAGCTACATAGGGAATTGAGGCCAGGCTGGGAGACCTGAGACCTTTTAAAAAAAAAAAACAACAGCTGGGTCTGGAGAGATGGCTCAGCAGTTAAGAACACTGGTAGTTCTTACAGAAGACCCTGGTTTGAATCCCAGCACCCACATGGCAGCTAACAACTGTCCGTAACTCCAGTTCCAGGGGATCCGATAGCCTCTTCTGACCTCTGCGGACATTGCACAACACGGGTGCACTTACCTACACGCAGGCAATACATGCATACACATAAAATAAAAATAAAATATTTAAAAAAAACACAGCTCTGGGAAGATTGCTCAGTAAAGTACATGGACCTAAGTTAAATCCCTAGAACCCCACTTTAAAAAGAAAGTTGTGGTGGCTTGTGATCCCAGCAGCACTAGGGAGACAGATGAGCAAATAGCCTGCATCTTGCTAGCCAGCCAGCCCGGCCTACT